AAATGAAAGATGATAGTAACTTTCTTTAAGTTTATTTTAGAAAATCTTTGTTAAAGATTTATACCCTGTATTTGTTCTGGGAAGTTGGGGGAGGGGGAAGGTTGGGGAGGCGGGGTTTGGGAGGGGAGGGGAGGGGGAGGAGGTAAACATTTGTAAAAGGTTTTTTTTCTAAAAATTTTCAATAAAAAAAAAGATCACAGCAAGTTGTGCTGATCTTAAGAAATCTCTTGTGACAGCAGAAGTGCCTATATGGCTTCAAGAAATTTTTAAATACCCTTCAAAACTATTCCGCTTACATGGTAATTGATAAGCATAGAGGATTATCATTTACCAGTGAGTCATGTACAATAGATTAATGTTCTCTCAATTGGAACAATGGCATTGATCTTTAAGCAGCAAATTAGATTGGGGGGGAGGGGAGAGAGAGAGAGAGAGAGAGAGAGAGAGAATCAGAGAATGCATAAATGCAAATACATAACACACCCAGAAGCTAATACAGGCAGGTAATAAAAAAGGATAAGCTTGACGTAACAGATTGCTAACCTAGCAAAACGAATATCAGTTTTTAGATATCGAAAATCTTTTTTACAATAAGTAAATTGGAACAAATTATTTCACTTACGCAATAGCTGGCATGTACAAATCAAACTTTTGAAGAAAAGTAGTGAGACACCCTGGTTTATCACAAGTAATTTGTTTCAGAAGGCCGTCTGTTGTATCTGCAGGTAGATGTATTCCTCTTTTTCTAGGAATTTAAAAAAGTTTGTATATCAACTGCTGAAATTAATTTAGGATTAGTTTTGAACAGTCATTTCTTTTTTGAGTGCATATGCTGATAAAAAAACGGAATAGTCAAATAGCCCTGGCTAACCATTATATAATACTTTTTAATGTATCCCCAGCTAACTTCTAACCTTAAAAATGAAGCATCCAATAAAATACGTATTTCCTTTCTTGGTATAACTTTGTTGATAAATTATATCCATGCACATCAGATGTTTCCTGAATCTTAATATCAATTCTATTGTCTCATTTCCTCGTGCCACAAAATGCTTTAATAAACGAAACCGGCTTACTATTAACTCACAAACAGGAATTTTTAAGCTTTACACATCAGTATAAATTTCCATTAGAGTAGCAACTTTTTAGTTACTGAAATTATATTATTACGCAACAGCTTCCACTGGGATATAAGCCCTCACTGTCTCACTGTTTTCCATTTTCCTAGCATTTTGCCCAAAATTTGTGATACAATTGTTTTATTCATAAATGTGCTTTTTTCATGTTCAGAAGTTTTAAAACAGTCAGATATAGTAGTGGAGTCAGATCCCAAATTTTTGCATCCTATTCTTTCCTAAATTTCAGATTTTTCCATCTATCTTAGGTAAGGTAAATGTTCCCCTCACATATATGTGCTAGTTGTTCCCGACTCTAAGAGGCAGTGCTCATCTCCTTTTCAAAGCCGAAGAATCAGCGCTGTCCGAAGATGTCTCTGTGGTCATGTGGCCGGTATGANATTTCCACTGCTCTCCTCTCCTCTGCCTTTTGGGCATCTGCGTGTCAGGCACTGGACCCAACTGTTCCTCCTCTTCCTCGTAAGCCACCCCCAGACCTGGGAGCTGTTGACTCTCCATCTGAGGGCTGATGGGTGGTCCAGGCTCCACCTCTGTCTCTCTCTCTCTCTGCCAGCTCCACTTCCTCTTCTTCCTTGGAGCACTCAGATTGCCTTAATGCTGGCCCTGATTCCCACGCCTCCTCTTGCCCTGATTCAGCTGCTGGAGGGGCTGGAGGCCAACAGGACACAACACTATGCCTCATCTAAATCATTATTAGCGTTAGTACCCAGTGCTAGTGTTAGTCCAAAAATAACAAAATACATGACTTTGATTTTTTTTTGTATGAGATTCACAGTCATGTGTTTCCTCTCACATCTCCTTTCTCCCCTCAATTTCTCATCTTAGGCCTGGATTCTCAAAAAGTCATAATTTGTCTATTGTAAACTAGTATTAAAACCTAGGTTTCAGAAATAGTTGCCCCATACAGATGAAATAGACTTTAATTGCCTGAAAATCATGATAGAAGTTAGTATTAGGGACAAAACTGATATATGAAACCCCAAAAGCATTACCTGGTGTTCTATCTAATCTAATTTGATTCAATGCAGACAAATTCGTTTTTATCAAAATGCTATTTCTCCTACCCAATAGACCTGCCATTTCTTCATTTTGCTCTTAATGTGTGAATGAATATAATAAAGACTGTCTTAACTACCTGAATTTTCTTCTTCAACCCTTCCCCAAAAGATCGCCTTCAGCTTTATGAATGCTAAACTCAACTTTAAGAAATAACTACAAATTTAAAGAGCACAGACGGATTCAAATGCCATGGAAGCTTCAAATAGAAAATACAAACATCTACAATTTTAACTGAATTTATTCAATAAAAACTGCATATCCCCACAATTTTCCCTTCGACAGAAATGTATCCCCGAGTAAGCATGGAGAGCACTTTAAATGTTTGAAATGCTGCCTATCAGAAAAGATGGTTCTCTCAACTGATTGTGGATTTTAAACCTATAACCCCAGTCAGCCTGTTCAAAGATAAGGACAATGGAGATTAAAGTCCAAATATCTGGAGGGCACCAGATTGCCAACTCCTGCTCTATATAAATGCAAAGTATATTTTCGTATTTGCTATAATCATATCTTCTAGTAAGAATAAAACGCTATAGTATGCACTTTGGAGCCAATTTATACTAATATACCTGCTATAAGAATTTGTTTGGATTCTTAAGCCAAGAGCACAATTTGTTGAACATTCACTGTCCACATTGGAACCAACTGGATATATAGTGACAGCTGTGAACCTGTGAGCTCAATTCTCCTTAACCAAAATCCCACCATCATTTAGTTCAAAGTTTAAAGACAAAAATATTCCTCTGCTTTTCTATAGCAATTTAAAACACAGATAAAAATGCCATGTAAGAGAAAATTTTCATGTGGTTAATTCCAGACTTGTGAAGAAAGTAGGAGGAGGAGGAAGGAGTGTCAGTTCTGTTCGCTGCACTGAGTTGTTTATAAAAATAATGAAGATGTGATAAAAACTAAAATAATATAAAATCACAAACATTTTGTTACAGAAGGGTGTTTCTCTAGCAATACAAATTGGGACATTATATACATTAAAGCAAGAAAATGTGTAAGGAGGAGCATCCAATTTTAAGATTGCACTAATCTCAAGGTCACAGCAAGCAGTGCTCGCTTCGGCAGCACATATACTAAAATTGGAACGATACAGAGAAGATTAGCATGGCCCCTGTGTGGCGCAATACTGGAAGAAGGAAGATTTGCCTACTATTCAAGAATGGACATTAAAAGTAACAAACCTAGCAGAGATTAGTGCAAT